ACTGTGCTCCCAAGATGCCAGCAGGATGCCACCGCCTCACGGAGCTGACCCACCACCGCCCTCCCAAGCTCACCAGTGTCTCTTCCTCTTACCACTTTCTCCTGCTCCCTCCTTTCCATGGCAGAGCCAAGAGATATTTGCAAACACCCAAGGATTCCAGCCCTTCTCTGCGTATAGTCCTTCCCAAGAGAGGGGCATGCTGGCCACCACCAACACAAATCTGAACAGCTAGATGGGGGCTGGAGCTATAGCACAGCGGGTAGGGCATTTGCTTTGCATGCGGCTGACCCGGGTTTGATTCCCAGCATCCCATATGGTCCCCCGAGCACCGCCAGGAGTAATTCCTGAGTGCAGAGTCAGGATTGACCCCTGAGCATTGCCGGGTGTGACCCCAAAAGACCCCCGCCCCCCTAAAAATCTAGAAACCGCCAGGAAGCATTTCTCAGAAAGGATCTGCTTCACCTCAATGAAGGAGGTAAACGGAGAAAAGCGAAGGGAAGTTGTCAGAGCCAGGGAATATGACCTGGCCCAGAAGCCAAGTCAACAGACTCTCCAAATGAGGGGAAAGGGAAAGTATGGGACAGCTGCTGGGCAGGGCGAGGCAGAGCCTGCCTCTTCAAACTCACAAACACAAGAGAAGTGCTTAAAACAAGCCGGAAGATGCACTAGTGGTAGAAAAGCAGGTGGAAACCCAGGAGTACATATACTGTGTGACTTGGGAAAAGTCTCTGCTAGGCTCTATTATTTTCATTGATGTTATCTAGGGCTATAGATAATGTTGTGGTAAGTGTTGTGATAGTAAAATATCTGGGCTATAGATAACATCATTAAGTGTTGTGATAGTAAAATATTTATGTTTTTTCCTTTAAGTGGGAGCAGCTGGAGAGGGGGGGCAGAGAGCTGGGCTTGCCTGCTCCTTGCACTGAAGCTAAGCTGGGTTCAATCCCCATGTGGTCCCCTGAGGAGAGCCAGGAGTAAGCCCCGAGCACAGCTGGGTGTGGTCCCCGCAAACCAACAAACAAATGAACAAAAAAGCAGGAAACAATAGAAGAAACCAAGAAGAAAGGAGATGAAAATGAGCACACAGGGCCCAGAGAGACACAGCAGGTGTCTCTGCTTGCCTTGCAAGGGGCTAGCAGGGTTGATCCCCTGGCATCCCATATGGTGCCCGGAGCACTGCCAGGAGTGATTCCTGGGTGCTGAGAACATGCCTGGATGTGGCCCCAAAATAAAGTTTTCTAAACCCTAAGGAGCTACAGATCCTAGGACAAGGGCCCCTTCTTCCTCACTTCTTAAGGGCGAGACCTCAGGCAGGATGTTTAGCCCACTGTGCCTCAGTTTCCTCAGGTTTCCCCAACTGTAAAATGCAGATAATAACTTCCCCCACCCTCAATGAGCTCACCAAGACCAACCCAGCAGAGACTCATATTCAGAGTGTGATGAGATCCCCAAGCAACTGAACATGATGGCCTGGTCCAACCGCTTCTCCCCTCTATTTCACATTCTGCTATTTTGGGTGAGGGTCACACCCGGCAGCGCTCAGGGCTTACTCCTCGCTCTGCACTCAGGAATTATTCCTGGCGGTGCTTGGGGGACCATATGTAATACTGGGGATCGAATTCGAGTCCGCCATTTGCAAGACAAGTGTCCTATGCACAGTACTATCTCTCGAGGCCCCAAATTTCACATTCTGAAACAAAACAGATCTTAGGCTCACAATAACCCAAATATGGTTTTTTCTTTGCTTCTATTGAGTATTGGGTCTCACTGGGAGGTCAGGGGGGTGGTTGGGCATAGTTTGAGTCCTCACCCAGCAATGCTTGGAGGTTAATCCCAGTGGTGTTGGGGATTAAACTGGGGTTAATCACATGCAAGGCAAAAGTCTTATCCCCTTACCTCTGGGGCCCCCTGCATCTCACTTTTTTGTTATTTGTTTTTTGGGTCACACCCAGTGGTACTCAGAACATATTCCTGGCTCTGTGCTTTGGAATCACTCCTGGAGGGGCTTGAAGACAATATGATATGCTAGAGATCAAACGTGGGTCGGCCACGTGCAAGACAAGCTCCCTAGCATCTGTACTAGACCCGAAGATTTTTTCCTTTCTTTCTTTTTTTTTGCAGTGCTGAGAACCGAACTCAGGGCCTCACACATGCAAGATTCACATTTTTGTCTCTCAGCCACCAACCTCTCCATAGGTCTCACTTCTTTAGTGGGTGGCTACTGGGTGACAGGCACTGTTCTGGGGAAAGGGAACAGGCAGGAAGCAAAATTCAGAGTGAACAGACTTCCTGGTCCTCATGCAGCTGACACGCCCCTCGAAAAGAGGATAATAAACATATAGACAGTTTCAAGGTGGTGCATGCCAAGAGAGGAACAAGAGCAAGTTAGGGGGACTGGAGTGGTTCTGATATTGTGTGTGTGTGTGTGTGTGTGTGTGTGTGTGTGTGTGTGTGTCACAGTGGTCTCAAGGAGCAAGTAACGAGCCACATCCTTTTAGATCTTTAAAGTCTGTGCTTTTGGGAATAAGATAACTTTACCCCAACTGCTAGGAATATACCAGTGAGACTGATAAAAATATCATTCTGTGTCAGTGAGAACACATTTAAGGGATTTTGGAAAGGCAAAATAATTTGGAAAGGTGACACGTTTTTTAAGACAAACAATAAAAAGGTGGGGGAAGGGGTTAGGGGTTTACCTGCCCAGAAGTGATATTTAAGAGCTGGGACAAGCGAGGGGCTAGTGACTCCCCCCCAGCCCTGCTCCAAACAGTGAAGGTTTCCACATAGCCCCTGATAACTGGAGAAATGCTAAAAAAATCCACAAAAGCAATGACAAGCAAAGGCTGGTATGAGGGTCTGACAAAGAAACTAACAGAGACACCAAAACCTGGACAATAAGCAGAAGAGTCACCTGGGCTGCAAAGGGCCCCTTTTCTACCACAGCAGTTTGCTCCCAGGGCAGGTAGAGGGCTTGGGGACAGAGGATGCAGACCCTCGCACAGAGGGGCTTCTCTAACAACGCTCTGGGTGCCTTGAGGAACGAACTCCCCCATTTTTCAGAAGAGGAAACTGATGTGCAGAGGGGTGAAGTGCCCTGTGCAAAGTCCCACAGCGGATGGGAGAGCTGGGACTCAAACCTGGGTACTCGTGGAAGAACTTTCTGGAAAGAACAAAAATCAGCTGTGGAGACAGCTCAGAGCTAAGCAAGTGCTTTGCACACCAAAAGTCCAGGTTCAGTCCCTGACATCTCATGGTCCCTAAGCACCACCCGGTGCTCGTTTGGCGGAAGCTCCTGAGCACTGCAGGATGTGGTTGTAGCCCCCAAATGGAAAGAAAAGAAATTAAAAAATAAATCAAAGGGGGGGGCAGAGAAATAGCATGAGGGGTAAGGTGCTTGCATCGTACACAGCTGACTCTGGTTCAATACCAGCACCAGAGAGGGTCCTCAGATCCGCCAGGAGTGATCCCTGTACTAGTAAAGCGAGGACTAAGCCTTGAGCCCCACCGGGCATGGCCTCCAAACTGAAAATAAAGACAAGAAACTCACAAAGCTCTCATCCTTCTTGAGGGTTCTATACATATCACCTCACCAACTCATAAGTGCCTCATGGCTGGAACATGATCCCACTGACACAAAGAAACTGAGGCCCAACCAGAGAATATCCTGTGACCAAGGATCCACAATGACAGTGCCGGGCACCTGAGCCTGGGTCTCTCTAAAATCAAGGCCCTTAACCAGCGACATTCGGATTACTGAATATTTCCAGATCAACTCCCTGGAAACTTCACAACAAGGGAAAGAAACAATTGCCTTTTTTTTTTTTTTTTTACTTTTTGGGTCACAACCAGCAATGTTCAAGGCTGTGTACTCAGAAATTACTCCTGACAGTACTCAGGGGACCATGTAGGATGCCGGGGATTGAACCTGGGTCAGCTGCATGCAAGGCAAACACCCTACCCGCTGTATTATTGCTCCAGCCCCAGAAAGACACTTCCAAGATGAATCACACCAGGGAGACAGGGGATAGTACAGCAAGTAAGGTGCTCCCTTTCTGGCAGCCAACTTGGGTTCAATCCCCAGGCCACACATGGTCCCCCATCCTTCCCGCCAGGAGTGATCCCTGAGCCCAGACCTGAGCACCACCAGGTATGCCTACACCACCACCACCCCGACAAAAAGGTGAATCATAAAGTTGTCAAACTGCCCAGTAAGAACTGGATATGACCAAAAGGTTGGAAGGGCAGCACACCCACACTTGTTAGAAATATCTCTTATTCATGGACATACCTGGAATTGGGCCAGGCAAGGTCACAGCAAGTGAATTATTTATATTCAGCTGGGGACAGAGATGAGAAAAGGGAACGACTAAGTTTCCGAGCATCCCCCCCCCCCCGGAGGTCACCCTGGGCCTGGGGAGTCCTGAGTTGGAGAGAAGAGTGGGAAATGGGGTGGTCTGGGAGAGAAAGAAAAAGAGAAAGAAGGCGCCAGAGATGGGGGCTGGAGCTATAGTACAGCAGGTAGGGCGTTTGCCTCACACATGGCCAACCAGGGTTCAATACCCAGCATCCCATAGGGTCCCCTGAGCACTGCCAGGAGTAATTCCTGAGTGCAGAGCCAGGAGTAACCCATGTGCATTGCCGGGTGTGACCCAAAAAGAAAAAAAAAGAATGTAATAGACAGTACAGTAGGGAGGGCACTGTCTTGCATGCAGCTGACCCAGGTTCAATCCCTGGCACCCCATATGGTCCCCAAACTTCCACCAGGAGTGAACCCTGAGGGCAGAGCAAGGAGTAAGCCCTGAGAAAAGAAAAAGGGGAGGCAGTCCAGTTGATGCCTGCCAGTCTCTCACTGTCCTGCCAACTGCCTTCTCTCCAGCTTTGTTTCAGCTAGATACACTGTATTTATACCAAGCCTTTTTTTGTCCACTTTCTCTCCCTGGGCCCTCAGATCTGCACAGGAACTCAATTCCCATGGTTGAGAAAGAGACCGAAAGACTTACCCAGGGTCATGCAGCCAGCAAGTGGCAGAAATGGAATTCAAACTGAAGACTGTGCCTGTTCTCAAGTATCCATCCCCCTCATGACATTAGACGTCAGTACAAGGAGACATCATTCAATTATTGCGGCCAAAGCCCAGACTCTCAGCCAGGCTACCCAGGGCTGCTGAGTTGACCCTTTTAATGCTGGGTGACCTCATGAAGGCCAGGGAACTTCTCTGTGCCTCAAGTTCCTTTCTGTAAAAATAGAGATAACAACAGTGCCTCCATCGCAGGGGTGTTGTCAGAATTCAAGGAGTTTCACCTGCCTAAGGAGCTTCGAAGAGGGTCAGGCTTTGGCTGTCTGTAACTGACTGCTGGGGAACCCTCTATATTTCTGGGCTGGGGTGTGCCCCCACATCCCTGCCAAACTTTGAGAAAACAGCCCCAGGGCTGGACTGAAAAGGAGGGAACCCACTGACACCTGTGACCCAGTCACATTCCTGGGTAGGAGACATTTGTCACCACCAGCTCTGTATCCGAGGCCAACTTGCAAGGGTTCTGCCACAGGCAGGAGGTACCATCCGGAGAGGCAGGTTGTTCCCACAGTACTGATAAGCCCCCACCCCCACCCGCCCTGTTACAGAGATCAGAGGCTTGCTGGGTCTCAAAGGAGTGGCTGAATAAGAGATCTGAGAGCTACACTGCCCGTACAGATAGACAGATACACTTTCCTAAACTCCACTAGGGAAATGAGAGCAAAAGTCTGTCTCTAGGGGCCCGCTCAGGCATACTATTCCTCCGGCTCTGGAACTGTCCAGTGATCAAGGACTGCTGGCCGGACTAGGCAAACTATGGCTATATCCAGGCCCCTAGTCCTTCTCGCCACACCAGCACCAGTCCCAGAGCCTCAACCACACACTACTCTACCACTGATTTCTCTCTGCCACCGGCTCAACTTGTCCTCCTGCCAGCGATCCGATCCGACGGCCCCAACACCTCGCACCCATGGCTGGACTCTTTCTCTGAGTCTCCAGACCTCTTTCAATTCATCTAGCCACGACCAAGTCTTCCCACATTACCCCAGGAGAACTCCCTCGAGAATAAGTCCCCCTTCAGGGCCTTCGCCTGGACCCCTCGGCCCCTACCCAGCTCTCAGCATCCTTATAATAAATCCCGAAGCTCGACTCCCTTCCCACCTTCAAGACCCCTCCCCAGCCCCCATTCTTCCACTACTCCCTCCGGCTCCATGCCACTCAATCCCTTCCCTTCTAAACGATCGCCCCTCGTCTGGCGCCTTCTTGAGCCTCTGCCTCTTCGCTCTCGCCACCCGGTCCAGACCCCCCGCCACTGGCGCTCAAGCGACCCGAGCCCCCGCTCCGGGTTCTCACCATCTCCCCGCGCTGCAGCTCCTCGGCTACGCGGGTTTCCCCCACTCGCTCCTTTCCAGCCTCCCCTTCCGGGTTCCCGCCCCGAAGCCCACTGGGAATTGGAGTTCGGCTGGTGATGGACTACATTTCCCAGAAGGCAGTGCGGTCAGGTTAGTAGGAAAGGAGGGGGAGGAGGGGGGAGAGGACGGGAGGAAGGAAACAAACTAGGTGGGCCGAGAGCGAGAGACAGACTCTTAACTCCCAGTAGGCGAAAGGGCTCTTGGCAGCGCAGGCGCAGACAGCGCCCCCGGCAGGCGCGCTGGGAGATTAGGGTCCAGACTCCATTTTGGCCCGAGGCTCTTAGGGAATTGAAGATAAAAGATATCTTGAGGCGTTTGGAAGGGCTGGAAAGTTGAGAAAAGAACAAGTGTACTGATTTATTTATCCTGATGAACATAATTCTTAATCCTAGTATTTTCTCACACCCCATCTCATACTTCTGCCACCTTGTGCTTTTAGCGCTGTCACCTCATTTGAGAATGAGAAAACAAAACTTCAGGAGCATAGAGGGAAGACCTGTGCACTGGGATAACTGGTCCGCATCATCGTTGAAATAGGGGTCCATAAGCGCAGCCATCTTCGTGCGTCTTTACACACCCATTACGATTTAAATAAATGTTAAATATTTTTTTGCATGCTAGCTTATCTGCCAGACTCCCTGAAGACTTGTCTTTTAAAATCGATCACCCTGTACTTATAAATTTAAGGCAGGTGAGCCAGAGATAGTACAGTGGATAAAGTGTTCTTGCACGCTGCCAATCAGAGTCCATCTTCAGCATCACTGTTCCGGGAGCTATACCAGGAGTGATACGTGAATACAGAGCCAGGAGGAAGCCCTGGGCACTGCTGTGGGCTGCTCAAACCACCGTCCCCTACCAAAAAATAAAAATTAAAATAGTAAGGCATAAAGAGATGAAGCCACTTTCCCAAATCCTCTTCCCCGAATCAGCAAGAGTGATTTGGACTGAAATTTGTTGGATATTACTGAAATGTGTAAGACATTACTAGATCTTGAAATAGTTTCCCCCTCTTAAATTATAGTTTCCATCCTTACAGTTCATGAGAATGAGAATTCTAAAACATAGGATTTCGCTCTACGCAATTAACATCTAATGGAGTTAAATTGAATTCCAAGGACCCTCCTCTTTGAGTCGTTTCACAATTCATTGCTTTCTAGGTTCTTGGCGATCACTCAATCTTTTGGGTCCGTGAGCGACTATACTGAGAAGACCAAATTACCAACTTTCAACCTCATGGTTGGCCCACCGCAGGCTCCCCCTGCAGGAAAAGGTTGGACAGCAATTCTCCTGAGTGCCCAGACAAGCCAGATCTTTCCTCCAAACACTGAAAGGGTAAGAGGCACCGCCTCCTCCCTCAGACCTACCAATCCAGGAGCTGGCGGGGAGGGGGATGGTGGGAGGGAGAGCGAGCGGAAGGCGTGGCCAGGAGGAATATACCCAACGAAGCAGGATTGGCCAGCAAAAAAAAGGCGGCAACGAAGTAGGCACTGATTGGCTGGCATTTTCCCGCGTGCAAATGAAGGCCTGTCAGGAGCGCGAGGTCCCGCTGTCACTGTACCCGAATCTCAGGGACACTTCGCGCGTGCGTAGAGTCTAGTCCAGCTTTTGGCGGGAACTGACGGGGGCGTGGCCTGACCCCGGCGCGACTTCCTCTTCAGCTGCCGCCTCAGTGCTCTGGAAGCCCAGAAGCTTCGAGCCTCGCGCTTCGTCCTGGGCGACAGCCGAGGTAACCTGAGGCTCGCGGGCGCCTCGCCACCTTTCCAGGACCCTAATCTGGACAAGTGTGAGACCCTTTGGGCTCCCGTGCCCTGGTGTGGAATCGGTGCGACACAAGAGGGGGCTGTGGGACTCACACCTTTTCACTCGTCCTGAGGCGGGTGCTGGAGGCTGGCGGGGACGGGTCGGCAGGTTCCCCCTTGGGCTCTAGCCAGCGAGGATTCGCTTCCAGCGTCTTTGGGGGTGGGGTGGGCGTGGAGGTTCCCTGAAACAAAGTTTGAGGCTTGAGAGTGACTTACTTTGGGGGACCCTTAAGGGTGAAAGGGCTGGTTTGATTAGCGTTGGAGGTCTCACACCTGAGGTCTCAGGGTTGGGAGGGTGTCTTGGGAATGAGTCGCGATAGAACTGGTTTGGAAATCTGAAAAGTTGTTGGGGAGCGGGGAGCACTATAAAGATGAGAAACTGGGATGGGATCCAGTGACCCTAACGGGGGGAGGGGGCTCCAAAGCGTTTCTGAGGCCTCAGTTCCACCTTCAAGTCCGCGGTCTGAGCTCTGGAGAGAGCGTGGGCATGGGGGTGTGGAGTCTGTGAGGGATTGACGCCTCCGAAGAGGTTGGAACGCAGCCATTTTCAGGAAGAGTCTGAGGAGTAAGTTTAGGGTGTGGAGTCGCCGTGGAGGTCACGGAACGGAGTTGTAGGTCCTGGAGTTCCCACAGTGAGGTGAGGGTGGGGCTTCAGTTTGAAACACTGGAGTCTCAGGGTAGGATTCCCAGGTCAGATCTCAGTTTTAGGCGTGGTGTGTGTGTATGTGGGGGTGGGGGCAGGTCACGTGCTGAGGGGTTAAAATGGCAGTCTGGAGGTCTGGAGGTCTTTCTTTGGGGCTCTAAAGCCATTTGCGGACGCTGCGATTTGCTGTGGAGAAGCTTGGGTTTCTGGTTTTAGACTTTGGGTTAAGGAAGTTGTGGTCTGTGATCTCTGCCTGGGTGGATGTTAATAATTTGATCAGAAGTTAATAATTTGGGGATCTCATCATTTCTCTTCTTTTTTTTTTTCTTTTTTCTTCTTGAGTTTTGGGTCACACCCAGCGATGCACAGGGGTTATTCCTGGCTTTGCACTCAGGAATTGCTCCTGGCAGTGATTAGGGGACCATACGGGATGTTGGGGACCGAACCTAGGTTGTCCACGAGCAAGGCAAACACCCTACCCACCATACTATCGCTCTAGCCCCAGATCTCATCATTTCTTTGTCAGATATGTGCAAGGCAAATTACCTACTCTGGTCCCACCATCATCTTCTTTATTCTTTCTTCTTGGGAGGGAGGGAGTGTGTCCATACCCAGCTGTACTCAGGGCTTACTTCAGGCTTTACACTCAGGAATTACTCCTGGTGATGCTCGGGGGACCATATGGGATACTGGGGATCTAAACCAGGTTGGCCACTCGCAAGGCAACTGCCTTACCCACTATAGTACGGCTTTGTCCCCTCTTTACAACATTGAGAGGGTTTCTTTTTTGAGTTTTTGATTTTCTTATTTTAAAATCAGTTTTTGTGGGAGAGACGCAATAGTATAGCAGGTAAGGTGTTTGCCTTACACATGGCTAACCAGAGTTCAATCCCTGACACTCCCCACTCCAGCCCACCAAGAACATGGCTGGGTTTCACCCTGAAGTTAAAATAATGATAGGGGCTGGAGTGATAGCAGGGCGGGTAGGGCATTTGCCTTGCACGTGGCCGTCCTGGGTTCGATTCCCAGCATCCCATATGGTCCCCTGAGCACCGCCAGGAGTAATTCCTGAGTGCAGAGCCAGGAGTTAACCCCTGTGCATTGTCGGGTGTGACCCAAAAAGAAAAAAAAAGAAAAAATTGATAATAATAATAATAATATAAAGTAATAATATCAGGGTTTTTATTGGGGGCTCCTAAGCAGTGCTAAGGGAGTCTTGGGCCTACTCCCAGTGACTACTGCTGCTGAGTCTGAAATTTAGGCTTCTGCTCCCATGGTGCTGGGGAGTGTTAGTATTTTTGTTAGTATTTTTGGAGGTTTGGGGTCTCCTCCAGTGGGGCACCAAGCCTTTTCCCAGTTCTGTGCACAGGAGTGACCCCTAGCGGTGCTCATGGACTATCTGTGCTGCTGAGATCAAATAGGGATTTGGTGTCCTGCCAGGCAAGTGCCTTAGCTCCTTGGCCACCTCTTAGCCCCAAGTATTAGTATCTTCATAATTGCTCTTTACAGAGCTCAGGACAAGGATTTTAGACTAAGTAGTTGCCATTTCAGGGGCTGACACCCCAATATTGAGAATGATGTCTGGGAGTCCAGGTTTGACAATCTCTTGCCTTTCGTTTCAAGTTTGGATCATAATTTAAGGAATCACATTTGCAGTTTGGAATTCATGTATTTCAGTTAGGACCTCAGATGTTAATTTGGGCTCTGAGTCTTATTTTTTGGGGTTAGGGACTCTGTATTGTTTTCTGTGTTTTTTTTTGGGGGGGGAGGGTGTCTGGGTGGAGACACCTGATAGTATTTAGGATCGGCGTATACAGGGCTGAGGATCAGATTGGGTCAGCTGGGTGCAAGACTCATGCCCTAACCCCTGTACTGTCTCTGTGGCTTCAGAGATTCTATTTCAGAAACTCTGAGGTCTCAAAGGTTCCTCATGGGAACAATAAAGACTGCCCATCATACCACCTGTACTGGTTGGCATCTCAGAGGTCACTAATACTTTTTTCTCCTTCTTTACAGATGTGGAGTTCCAGCAGATACTTGTGCTCCCCTGAGCAATCCAGAGCCCAGAGTCCTGATGACAGGTAAGGATTCCTCCCTTTTACCTCTTGCCTATTCTAGATGAAAAATGATAGCAATATGTTTATAGAACATTTGATATGGCCAGACTCTCTGCTAAGTCCTTTTGCTCATATGATATTCTTTAATCCTCAAGGAAGTAGGTGCAGATATTGCCACCATTTTTTAAAAAAATTTTATTAGTGAAACACCATGAGGTACAGTTATAGATTTACAAGTTTTTGTGCTTGGGTTTCAGTTATACAATGATTGAGTACCCATCCCTCCACCAGTGCCCATTCTCCGCCACCACTAATCCCAGTATCTCTCCCACCCCCCCATCCCACCACTATTTTCTTTTAAAAAATTTTTTTTTGTTTTTGGGTCATACATAGCAGTGTTCAGAACTTGCTCCTGACTCTGGACTTATGGATCACTTTGACAGTGATTAGGGGATCATATGGGGTGCCAGTGATTGAACCCTGAGGCAGACATTTGCAGGG